CGGGCAGGGACACCTTCCACTAGCCCAGGTTGCTCCAAGCCCTGTCCAACCTGGCCTTGGACACTTCCAGGGATGGGGCAGCCACAGCTTCTCTGGGCAACCTGTGCCAGGGCCTCCCCACCCTCACAGGGAAGGATTTCTCCTGGCCTTGAACACTTCCAAGGGAAATCTAAGCTCACTTGGAGCTCACTAATCCACTTGTGAAAATCAGAGTGACTCAGTTCATCACTTCATCCTTCCCCATCCCTCCCAAGTCAAGCACTGGGTGTTTTGGGGGCTCAGGCTCACGGTTACAGGGTTTGGGATTGAAGTTGCTGGGAGGGAACAAGGAGTTCCCCAGCACAAGAGCTTTACCTGACTCGGAGATATCATCCCAAAACGGAGACTCAAACTCGTAGTAGCCCTCCTTAATCTTTTCAAACAGTTTGGATTCAGTCTCTTCATAGAAAGGGGGATACCCACAGAGCCTGGAACAGAGCAGAAAGCCAGAGGTCCTTCAGTGCCACCACCCCCATCAGCACAGGCTCCTCCAGCAACAGGAGTGAGGAGTGACAGAGGAGGTTTCTCTGCCCATCCACCTGTCCCTCACTGCTTAGTGGATCAGCAAAGCTGCAGGAAAGAGTTAAAAACTCCACTGCAGCAGCGAGAGGACAAAGCCACAGCTGGTACAGAGCTGAGCGGTGTGGGAGGAAACAAAAAGTACCAGGGAAGATTGAATGGTATTTGTAGGCAACGGGTAAAAAAACAAAGCATAGGATGAGGCACATAATGGGGAAAATGTGATTCTTTTCATCTCCTCTGCTGTACTTGATTACCCACATGCCTTTCCTTTCTGTGCCTGCCGAACCTGAGCTCCACACGAGAACGGCAGGTCCGGCATCGCCCCCGCTCACGCTGCTGCTCCACCGAGGCGGGTGAGCAGCGAGGAGCTGGGAAAAACTCGTGGGAAAACAAGTGGGATGCTGCTTGCTGCTACTCACAGGATATAAGTGATGACTCCAATGGACCAGCAGTCCACGGCTTTGCTGTAGGGCTTCTGGGCGAGGACCTCGGGGGCTGTGGAACAGCAAAACCACGTGGGAATTCTGAGCAATAATGAGTTCTCCAACACTGGGAGAAGCAGGAGTTCCTGGTACACTTGGCCTCTGAGGTGCCAGTGCAGAGATCAGCCGCTAACAGCAGCATTTACCAGCTAAATTGGTCTGTGCTATTTGTATCTATTTTATGCCATTAGATAGAAAGAACCACGGGCAAGCTCTGCCTGTACCCTGAGGTTTGACCAGGGAGCTGCGGGTCCGGGCAGTGCAGGCTGGTGGGCATTTTAACACAACCCCATTGCATTTCGATTGTTTTTGTGACAATTCAATAAATATAGAGCTCCTAAAATTATCCTTTTCTTTGCATTTTTAAGCATGCTGAGATTTTTCAGTCTCCACACTCGCTTTTAATCCAGCCTGTACGTGGTCCATGCAGTGCATTTGCCAGCAGCGTGTTGTTATTAACATAATTATGTATTTATTTTTTCCCCTCTTTTCTAGGCAATGCACGGCCTTTTTTCCAGACAATCCAATAGCACAAGCCCATCCCTGATCCTTGGCTTACCCACATATCCTGGAGTCCCACAGGCCGTGGACATGATGCCGTTCTGCTCCATTTTAGACAAGCCAAAATCCGTGATCATGATTTTGGAGTTCTCTTCGGGAGTCAGGTAAAGAAGGTTTTCAGGCTGTGAAAGAGCGGTCAGAGGTTGAAATCTGTGGCAGAAAAATGGCAAAGGGAGAGCAGGAAGTCCTGGGGCAGAGCAGGTGGAGTTGGCAGCCAGGGCAGCTCCCTGAGGTGCTGCTGAGGGCCAGGTCTCACCTTCAGGTCTCGGTGAACTATCCCATTCTCATGCAGGTATTTCACTGCTGTCAGCACCTGGTGGATCACCAGACTTGCATCTTTCTCGGTGTAAACACCTCGCTCCAAAATCCGATCGAAGAGCTCTCCCCCAGACACCCTGTGGGAAAAGGCAATTCAGGAAGAAAACGACTGGGAAAAAAAAAAATTTAAACAAAATGAATCATGCTTTTGTGTTAGGCAAGCTGGCTTTCTGGTCCTTTCACAACTCCACCTACAGCAGAACCGTTCCTTGGGCAGCAGTTTTTGTGAGGCTGAGCTGATGGATGCTCCTGTAAGGAGTGCTGGGAAACCAGGGGAATTTGGGTAAAGTTATGAGGCAAGTCCTGGTAGGACTGAGCCACAGCTATCCAGCCCTGCTCCAGGCTCCACCACAGAATGGATATAGTTTTTTGCTTCCTTTAGCTAAATTTGCTCAGATTTGGGTGCTCACAGCACTTTCTCTGCCGCTGACACGGTGCCCATATTCATTTCTAGAAACCCTGCACAGCTTTAATTAGAAATACTTCTGTCTCTGCCCTGCTAAACTGTGATGAATTAATTTGCATAAACAGCTCCAAATCATGGTTTAGAAAACTTGCTGCTAAAACAAGGGGTGGGCCAAGGCAGCAGGAGAAGTGTCCAGGTTGGTTCCAACCGCGCAGCCCTCGCAGTGAGGGGGGTTTGAATGGTCCCTGTGAGGGGCTCCAGTGGGAAATATGAGGCATCACCCTGGTCCTGCCACTCTTTGTGGTTCCTCTGTGGCCCACAAAGAAGTGGCTCTGCTCATACTTACAGCTGCATGACCAGGTAGAAGTGGGTTGTGCTCTCATAAATATCTTCTAAAGTCACGATGTTTTCGTGCTTTATCCTGCAAAGACAAAGGTGGGTCAGAAACGAACCTGGCGAGGACAGAAGTGGCTTTTGAAGTGGAAAACCCAACAGTCATCCTGCTTTAATCACCAGTGGAAGTCCACTGGGGTGTTTTGCGGCTGATCTCCCTTCCCCTGAGTGGCAGAGGACCATTGATGCCCCTACCAATCCTTTTATGAGTACCAGGCACCAACAGCTGGGGACCAAACCCTTTGTTTTTAAACACAAACATCAGGAGATTTCCTAGGACTGCAAAAACATCTGCTCTGGTTCCCTTTTCCCTGTCTGCTGCTCTCCTTCATTTTTTTCTGTTATGCCCCATCCCTGGAAGTGTCCAAGGCCAGGCTGGACAGAGCTTGGAGGAACCTGTTCTAGTGGAAGTTGTCCCTGCCCATGGGAAGCTCTTCAAATGTTATTTTTAGCTTACCAGGACACAGAGACTCTGGGCTTTAAGGTCCCTTCCCATCCCAAACCATTCCATGATTTCCCTCCCCAGCTCTGGGGCAGTGTGGCTGTGTTGAGGTTACAAACCCAGCCGAGGAATGAGAGAAGAAACTTTACTAATTTCCTAATTCACAGTGATATTTATATATTCTTTAAAAATAAATAGTAATTTCCTCATATTGTTCTTCCTGTAGAGCCACACTTCTTTTTTTAGGGGTTGGACAAGATGATCTCCAGAGGTCCCTTCCAACCCTAAATATTCTGTGATCTTGGGAAAGGGCATTTGTTCTATTTTACACCAAACACCACTCACTTTTTCAGCACTGCTATTTCGTTCTCCAAGCTGCTGTCCCTGGTGAGGGGAGACTTCTTGATGCATTTCAGAGCAAAGAGCTTGCCAGTGCTTTTCTGCTTCACCAGGAAAACTTCTGAGAAGGCACCTCTGCAGAGAAGAGGAGAAGTTGTGTTTCAGTAGAAGCTGCTGCTGGGAACTGGGAGGGCACTTACAGAGAGAAGGAATGGCAAGAAAAAACAACATGGGAGTAATTTAAGTGGATGCTGATTATAAAAGCTACAACTGTGTCTCCAGCAGCCCCAAACTCAGGATATCCAAGGTAGGATTATGCAATATGGAGATAAACCCCCAAGTTTTCTCTGCAGAGAAAAGGTTGTTTTTGCATAGTTGGCCATGAAGCTGTTTTGAGGCAGTGGGCAAAAAAAGATGAAATTAAAGCAGCTTCTTCAGGGCTGCCTGGGAAGACACTGAAGTGTTTTAGTCCTGCAGGGGCCTGGCTGTGGGTGAACTTGGGCTCCAGGGAGGCAGAGGGCAAACAGGGTTTTCAGCACATCCCTGGGCTCACAGCTCTCTGCCTTCCAAGGAACCTTTGCACTGGAATCCCTTGGGACTGGGGGGATTTTCCCGGGCTAAGCACAAGCTCAGGGAGGGGCTGTATCCATAACCTTCCTGAGAATGGAGCAATCTGGAGCTCGGGTGCTCACTGGGGTTAAACCCCTGTGGGAAGATCTCAACAGCCTCTGCTCTAATGGGGCCAAATTCCACTCTAAAATCATGTTCCTTCAAAACCCCCCCAGTCTTTAGGTATTCCTGCCCTTTCCCTGCTCAGCACTGCCCTGAGGACTGAGAAAGCTGAGTGGAAGCAGCCCAGTGATGTTGCAGTTTGGGTGTTATCACCCAACCCTCTGTATGTCTAAAATGCAAAATAATAGGGTTATTTATCAGTTATATATGAGTTCATATTTTACTTCAGCATCTGCTGTGTTTTCCTGCCTGCAGAGCCTGCAAATACCCGTGTACCCTTAGTGACAAAGTGACAGTGAGTGTCCTGTACCCCCCTGGGCAGGGGGCAGCCCAGGGCAGCCCTGAGCAGGTATTTATAACATGCCTAAAGCTCCCAATCCTGTTAAAGGTTTGTCTCAGGGAGCTGAGCACGTGGCTCGGGGTAGTGACAGTGCACATTTTGCCAGGTCAGTCCTCAATAATCCTCGTCAAATGAGCAACAGATTAATTGATGGCCATTAAAGGGAACTTGCCCCTGAGCCTGCAAAGCCCTGCAAGGAGAGGGAGGTGAGTGATGTGAAAGCACCTCTTGGTGGGGATGCTGGTGTAGCAAACCCAATAAACCAGGGCACAAGTCCTGTGTCCCCTGTAATCCACTAACAGTGAATGCCTGTGCAAGACCCTGAGGACTTGCTGTGCCAGGACTGGTCCCTAGCAAGGAGAAAAAAAAAACCCAAATCACCCAAAAAAACATCCCCCAAACAAAAAAAAAACACCATAGATTTTTGGGAAGCCACTCCAACAGATGAACTCTTAATCTCACTTAGTAAATTATATGTAACTGTCTTCTCTCTTCTGGCCCAAAAAGCAGGTGGTGTTGGGACTTTCCTCTCATTTTACACATTTTTGCCCCTTTAGCCACATAAACTGTGCAGGCTGTTTCATGGATATGCCTTTCACATCCCTGAGAGCTCCTGGGGGATAGGCAGAGACATCCTTGCAGGGTCCCTAATGCAGCTGGGAGTGCTGCTGGAAGGTGATAACAAGTTTTGAGGCAGTTTTAGGTCCCAGATCTTCATTTCAATTTTTCAGCGAGCTGAAGTAGTGCACGTGGAAAAAAAAAAAATCTCAATTTCTAATGCTGAATTTTCCTATTAATGTAATAGTAGGAAATGAACAACCTACAAATCAGCTGCTGGGGCATCTGTTCCATGTATCTGTCCCAAACAGTTTATAATAATTATGCCCCTTATTAAAAAATGATGAATCAACAAGTTGGCTAGGAGAGAACCAAGCTCTTTCTAACCTCATTCCTTTAGTGAAAGCTGCTGGATAATTTCACTCATTTCTGGGGCTGCTGAGGGGCACAATCAAAACGTCACCCAGCTCTGGTGTGGCTGTTTTTTGGGAGCTTTGTTGTGGGCTCTGAAGTCACAGAACGTTTTTCCATGACAGAACCCGCCGGTGGAGGTAATTCAATTCCTCCTCCACCACCTTGGAAATGTTTTCTTGTCTCATCCCCCATGAATAGGCAAATGAAGCTGTGAACTCACAGGGAAGGATTGTACGACTCCAACATCCTTGTTTTTGTTTCATCCCCCGACTGAGTCAGGGTTTCTGAGCTAAATATACGACTTGTTGTGATGTTCCTCAGCAGGAACGGACCTAGAACTTACCCAGCTAAGGTTTCCTGCAGTCTTAGAGGGGATGGAGGGAAGGGCAGAGAGGAATTGGAGCTGTGCCTGGGGCTGGGGGGGAAGGAGCTTTTTTGGTGCTTCATGGCACACGAGCATCAGCAGCACCCCTGCAGCAGGACAGGCACCCACCCTCACCTGAGACCAGGGACTGTCTCAGAGGGAGCCAGTGCCAGCAAGGGAGTCACTGCCCTGGGCTGGGAAGGTGGGATCTGGAGGATTCCCTGCCCTGGGAGCAGCTGTGGTACTCACGATCCCAGGGCCTCCATGAAAATGAAGGTCTTTCGGATGTTGCTCGTCTGCTTCTTCCAGGAGCTGCTGTCATCCTCTTCCTTGCGACCCATCTCCTCCAGAGTGGAAGCAGGGAACGCTGTGAGGAAGAGGAGGAGGAGGAGAGGTGACTGCCATGGCTTGTGCTCACATGAAGAACAAGCTGGATTCAGGATGCTGGGCCAGAGGAGTCTGGCTTTTCAAGCACGTGAAATTTTGTGCTGCTCTTGCTGCTCACAGCTTGCCCCACCCCTGGAAGTGTCCAAGGCCAGATTGGAGCAACCTGGTCTAGTAGAAGGTGTAGAAGGGATGGAAAAAAATTATCTTTAGTGTCCCTTCCAACCCCGAACATCCTGTGATTGCATGAACTGTTTGTGCTGCCCATGTCCCTGATGTTATGTCCCACTGCAAGGGATGGAAGAGTGGATCAGCTGGGGAGGAGCTGGTGACCATATGGTAACTCTCTCTTGTCACTGTGCTCATTTAGAGCATGTTGGCAAATACAAATGTTTACATTGTGCCTCGCATTTAGTGGCTAAAAAAGCCCTGCTGAACAGTGGCTAATTTTAACTGAAACATCCCCAACCTGATGGATTATGAGTTATATACAAGCAGTGATGGGGGTGGGTGATGGTGGAACGGTTTTATTGCTCAAATAATAAATAGTTTGAAGAGATCACGACGGCAGGGAGGGGATTTGACAGAAAACCTTTTGTTGACGTGTCTCACACAGTTTGTGCTGCTGACATCTCTGATATTTTGTTCACTGACAGATTGCCTTTGCTCTGAGTCACAACCTTCCCCTCTCCTCTGTGATGCCACGAAGGAGAGCCCAGCTCTGGGTGCCCTGAGAGCAGTGATGGGAGCAGCCCACCAAAAATGCAGCTTCCTGGAGCCACTCCAGCTCTGCAAGAGGTGTTTGAGTGTGTGTTACCAGCATTGGAGGGTGTAACTGCAGCAAACCTGTGTGAGTGCAGGCTCTGGGTGATCTCCACACCTGAAACCTGTGCTGCTGCCCGTGGCAGTGTGACCTTGGGGTGTCCCAGTCCCCCCCAGCTCTAATCTCTGCAGAGCCAGGCCAGGCAGCTCTGCTGGAACCCAGGGGAGCTGTGGGCATGGGGAGCACCGGGAGAATTAGAGCTTGAAGGAGGGCTGGGAGGTGTGAAAGGTTACACAAACCTCTAAGCACCCCTAATGAGATCAGGGCTAAGGACTGGAAGGTGAGAAAGAAGCCCCTGAGACTAGAAAAAAATACATGTTAAAGTGGCTTGTCCTCACTATCAGGATGTTAAAGAAATGCACTGAAAATATCTCCAGGCAGCAGGGGTTTGGGGGGCTGCCAGCTGCACCCTGGGCATGGGGAGCATCCCTTGGGACATGGAGCATCCCCTGGGACATGGAGCATCCCCTGGGACATGGAGCATCCCAATTCCCAGAGCAGGAAGGGCTGCCCAAAAGCTGTGGGACACAGCTGAGCCTTCAGAAGACAAAGCAGAAGCTTTCACGGATAAATAAACGTTTGGGAAAGGCAGAAATATTAAAGCAGAGAAAAAAGCTGAAGGATCTTTTGTCATGACAGGCAGTTTAGGTATTGAATTCCTCCTGAACCTACTTTATCTCCTTAATTAGCACCTTTTCGGGGTTTTCAGCTCCTTGACACAATTTTTAAAGGTTAATTTAACATTGCTGAAAACAAAATTGACTCCATTGTAAACAGTTGAAGGCTTCAGTCCATAAAATCACCAAAGGCCATATGCACTTGGCCTTTATTTACCTTCTGGTTTCTGATGCATGTGTAACTCCTAAAAATACAACTCCCCAAAAAAACCAACCTTATCTTGTTGTTTGGAATCAGTGAAGGTCAAAAGTCCTCCACAACAGTGCTGATCAATTAGTAGGAACCTTCCTACCAATTATTTTGAGCCCCTAAACGATGTTTTCTTTGCAGTCACCCACCCATCCCTGATCTACAGATGTGGAATATCACGAAAAGAGGATTTTCTGGCAGAGGCATTCAGCTGGTGGTGAAAGGTGAGTTTTATCCACTTGAAATAAATACCAAATGCGTGATGGCAGCGTGGTGCTGAACGACAGGCACAGCTGAGATGACCCCTCCATTTCTCTCCCAGCCTACTGCCAAACAAAGATTATGAAGTGAAAAAAAGAAAAAAAAACCCAAGTAGGTCAGCCTGGCCCCGGGGACAAATGGCATTTTGGGCTCTGTTCCTGTGCATGGAAGCACATCCTGGTTGGCACAAGCTCTGTGGGGCAGCCCAGGAGGGGCACAGGGCAGAGAAGCCCCTCGTGGGGAGGTTGGGCTGGGCACAGGTGACTGTGTCCCCCCCATGGGAGGTGACAGGGGTGCCATGTACACTGGAACCTCTATAAATTCACACCCAAGTGTCAAACTTGCCCAATATTTGCTCATTTAAGCAAATCTGTTTAATTCCTTGGGAAATCAACAAGTTTTGGTTGATTTTGGTTCTGAAGGAAGGTGGTATCATGTTTTCCTTAATCTCCTGTGAATCATCTGCTCATCCTATAGTTCCTCCCGCTGTCACTCTGTGTGTGTGGCATTTGCTTTGCTGGGCTGGATGAGCAGCTCTGACTCCCAGCACATGGAGCTGATTTCCTGCTCCCTCAGTTTTTCTGTGCCATCATCAGCAAGTCATTTCCTGCCTCCTCTCCCCTCTCTGCAGGGAAGGGGAGTGAGTGGTGCTGTTTTGAGAGCAAAATAATGGAAGGTTTGGATTTTCTCAAATGTAAAGCTGCAGATGGCAGGGGGAAGGGGGTGGAAGTGGAGGATGTTTAAGGTCCCTTGCAACCCAAACCATCTTGGGATTCCATATGGGCTCAGGTGATGAACACTTGCCCACCTTCCTCCTTGCGTTGGATCACATCCTTTTCAAGGTTTTTTGTTCCTCTTTTGATACAAGGGAAAGTATTTGCAAAGGGATTTGGGGCAGGACACAGCAACCTCTCAATCCAGCTGGGATTATGGGATTAAAAGACCTGTGACTTCCCTGGTGCTCCAGGAGCTTGTCTTTGTTAAGTCACCTGTTGCACTTCACAGGAGTTGGGGAGAATGCAATGTTTGATGTATTTGTTGTCTGGGCTTTGTTATTTATTCAAGCTCTGGCCCAACAACCACAGAATCCCAGAATGGTTTGGGGTGGAAGGAAACAAAGTCCACCCCATTCCACCCCTCTGCCATGGGTAGGGACACCTTCCACTGTCCCAGGTTGCTCCAACCTGGCCTTGGACACTTCCAGGGGCAGCCACAGCTTCTCTGGGAAACCTGTGCCAGGGCCTCACCTTTCCAACCCCTTTCTTGCTGTTGGGACACAGCACGTGGGTAAATAGGATTTATCATATTTACTCACTTGCTTGAAGAAACTTTGCTTCCCACAGGAATAGAAAACATAACAACAGTTGGGCAAACAGACTCTGTGTTGGCACTGGCAGGTTTTCCTGCCGGGTGATGTGCCCATCCTGCCCCTGCCCCTCCTTCACTTGTCAGCTCCATCCTGACACCCCTTCCATGTGCACCTCACCCCCAGCTCAGGGGGCATTCCAGCCCCTGCATTCCAGCCCCAAAAGTGGGATGCACACACAGAGTGCACCCAAAATACACATTATTTTAAACACCTGCTCTGAACAAGTGTCTGTGTTGCCCCTTTTGCCCCTTCACCCCTGGGCAGTGCAATCCCATCGGAGTGTTAAGGTTGCATAATAAGATTGCAAAGCTCATTAACGAAGGCAGGTGAAGACCTTTGGAGCTGAAAATGAAGTAGATAACACTGCTTTCATTTGTTCAGCTTCCCTCTTCCCCATCAGAACAAATTAAGCAGCATATGGGCTTCAATCTGATGAGTTTATATATATATATATATATATATATATAAAGTAATAAACAGTATTTACATTAATGTCTAACCTTTGGGGCTCCTCTACAGCCTAAGTCAACAAACGTGGCTGCTGCTCTACTCTGATCCAGCACGACACATCAGAGTGTAATCAATGTTATTATGACCTTGCTTAAATATTTCCCGAGGAAATTTGTTCTGCTTCCACAGTAGCAAATCCATCTGCAGGCAGCCACTGCTTCTGAATGGATGCACTGCATTAGCAAAATTATTGTAAGGCATGATTAATAGTCTCGTGACAAAGTTACATGTGGAGGGGGGGGAAGAGACATGCAGCTTTCGTGGGTTTGCCTTTGGAATTAGAAGTTTACAGGAAAAAAAAAAGAAATTATAAACTCAAAGGGCTTTGATTTAAAAAAAAAAAATACACCGAAGCAAGCAATCTGCATGTGAATGAATGAAGTGCCAGGGCAGCCTCTGTGTTCAGGGACAAAAGAACAAGAAATTGGACACAGGAGCTCGCCATGAAAAACAAACCCACCTCAAACATCTTCTATTCCCCCCTCCACTCCATCGATTCGAAAGCAGTGCTTTCACTTAGTAGTTAAAGATGGACACTTGCAAAAGCTCGATTTTAATTAGAAATATTCCAGGTTCCATAAAATACTTGGGAAGTAAAATGCCAGAGGCAGCTTTCTATGAAATGCTAAATACAACCCGAGTGCTGGAGGATTCTGCCTGCACAGAGAACTCCCCTTACGAGATAAAATTCATCTTTAAAAAAAAAAAAAAAAAAGGCAGGTTAGCAGGAATCCCCACCCGCTTCAGCGCACGGAGCAGGCTAAGAGGAAAAGCAAATGGCTCTCAAGGAAAGGATGTTTTTCGCTTACCCAAGTCAGCACCAACAAAGCAACTCCTGTTGGCCGCCGCTCCCGCCCGGCTCCGTGTGCGGGGATTAGAGGAGGAGGAGGAGATGATGATGGAGCTGCTGGGATGGTAACCAGGCAGCACCTGACGGCGAGGAAATCACCGCCAGCACGAGCTGGGAGGGGTGTGAGAGGAGGAGGCGGCGGGACCTGGGAACCCCAGAGCTTCCCACCGGGAATCGCCTCCGCCGCCGGGAGAGGCAGAGCAGCAGCAGCAGCAGCAGCTCCTCGGCAGCGGTGAAATATCCCCCGGGTGGGAGGCAAATGTAATTTGCCTTAATCAAACAGGTGACTGCTGGTATTTAGAAAACACCCCACTTTCCTTTGTGTGACGCTGGGAGTTCTGTGGGGCAGGTGGGACTGGACCAGGACAAGATTTCCCACCAGGACAGGGTTTCCCACCAGGACAGGGTTTCCCACCAGGACAGGGTTTCCCACCAGGACAGAATTTCCCACCAGGACAGGGTTTCCCACCAGGACAGAATTTCCCACCAGGACAGGGTTTCCCACCAGGGCAGGGTTTCCCACCAGGACAAGGATTTCCCACCAGGACAGGGTTTCCCACCAGGACAAGGATTTCCCACCAGGACAAGGATTTCCCACCAGGATGCTCCAGCACTGGCAAAGTGATGCTCCTCACCGTTTTTAAATGGCACAAACCCACAGAGAAAAATCATCACAGCGAAGGGTAACCTTCATCCCCAGTTTTTGGGCTATTTTCACCCCTACAATGGCTCTATTTTGACTTTCAAGCCCTCCCTGTGAGTGCCTCCTCAAGCACAGCACACATGAATCTAGGAAATATTAATAATTCTTTGAATCTCTTCTATAGTGGAGGATTTTTAGAGCTGGCAATAATGACTTTACTGACTGCATTCTCAGTTGATTTACACTGCCACCTAGAATAATGCATGAAAAAAGTGCATATCACTGCGAAGTTTAGTTTTATATCAGGAATAAATCAGCTCTGAGGCAATACTGGAAAATCACATTCTTTTTCTTAATATGTTTTTCTCAGTAGCTTCGTTCCAGGGCAAAGGCTGTTTGATATTCTTCTTTTTTTCTGGTCAGGCTCCAACTCTGTGAACTCCCCTTTTGGTCAGAATTTCCAGGTGTTGGTTTGAATGTGCAGGTTGTCTTTAGTGCAACATTTTGGTGAGATTTGCATTGGTTTTACCTTGAAATCCACCTTGTGGCCTCAGCTGTACCTCTGGAGTGAGGAGGAACCAGTTCCACGGCTGGGACAAGCCCAGAGAGCCACGAGGTGGTTTACTGGGGGTACATCTACCCCACACAGACAGAAATGTGCCCTATATGTGAGTAGGTAAAAACATGGACATGCAGGTCAAGCCTTGCTCTGATTCTGGAACAGGCTGCCCAGGGAAGTGGTGGGTTCTCCATCCCTGGGAGTGTTCAAAAAACCAGTAGATGTGGCCCTTGGTGCTATGGTTTAGCTGACAAGGTGATGTTTGGTTGAAAGTTGGACTTGATGATCTTGGAGGTCTTTCCCGAACTTAACGATTTTATGATTTTGGATTTTCTTATCAATTTATTTTGCTTTTCCTACAAGCTGCCAGCCACTGTATCCTAACTGGAAATTTAACAGCCCCAGTTTAATCTTGTGTTGTGAGATAACCCAGAAAGGACACCCTGGACCAGGGAGGGATTTTTAGGATGGATTCAGTGGAAGGAGCCCACAGCAGAGCCCTGTGTTGCCCACAGGTCCTGGGGAGGTGGTGGGAGACGTGCTCAGGGAAGGCAGAGGAGGGGAGCAACAAGTGCTTTACTGAAGTGGGTTCATTATGATCTAATTCCAAACAGAATGCCAATAAGGAACACAAACTGGCAGGGATACAGGAGCATCCATCCTCCCTGTGACGCTGTGTCTGACCCTGGGGTCTGTCTGTTTGTCATGGGGCAGCACTGAGCCAGGCTGGGTTCATTGAGGGGAAAGGAAATGAAAAAAATGACATGATTTGTGATCCTGTGGCTGCTCTGGAGAAGTTTAAGATGGAGATAATGAGAACAAAAGGGAAGCATGGACTCCTCTGCAATCCTTGGGGTTGAGTTGTGCAGGAGGAGGTGGCTGTGATAAACTGGAGCAGGTGCCCATGTCTTGTCTTGCTCTTGTAGAACTTGCTGTAAACATGTTATAAATCTCACAGAAAGAGCATGACTGCAGCAGGGCAGTGTTGGGGGCAACTGGCAGTTAGAGCAGGAAGAAAAAAAAAAGGAAGGAGAGCAGACTCTTCAGCATGTGAGAGCTGCAACACCCCCAGTGTCCAGTGTGGCCTTCAGAGACACACAGAAAACACCAACCACCAGCAGGAGCAAGAGGGAAAGGCTCCCTTGTGTGCTCTGCTGTGGGAAGAATCCATGGAGATGGTGGCTCTCGACCTTGCCTGATGGAAATCTGGGACAGCAGCAATCCAGTTCAGGGACTTGTGCTGAGCTCTCCGTGGGCTGGAGCTAAAATAGCAGTTATTAACCAAAGGCACTCGGAGTGAGCAGCAATGCAGGTTTTAATGGCATGAATCAGAGTGAGGAGGTGGGATGGAAACAACAGCACAATGCACAGATCACAGCAGCCCCTTTGCAGAGGGGTTTGGAAGGAGCTGTTTTCCCCATCCCCGGGGAGAAGGAACCCGGAACAGTTCTGGGAGGTTTGGCAAAGAATGAGAGAAGAAAATATCTCCTGAATGTTACAAAAAAATAGAGAGTGATTTTGACACAGGTAGATAATGATAGGACAGGGAGAAATGGTTTTTAACTAACTGAGTGGAGATTTAGACTAGATTTTGGGAGGAAATTTTTCCCTGTGAGGGTGGGGAGGCCCTGGCATGGGTTTCCCAGAGAAGCTGTGGCTGCCCCATCCCTGGAAGTGTCCAAGGCCAGGTTGGATGGGGCTTGGAGCAACCTGGGATAGTGGAAGGTGTCCCTGCCCGTGGCAGGGGGTGGAAATAGAGGATCTTTAATATCCCTTCCAACCCAAACCATTGGGGGATTGTGTGATTATCAGTGAGAGGGCAAACAGGGCAGCAGGGCAGGAGGGTTTTCAAGCACTGGGGATTACCAAACAGAGAAGTTTTGAGACACAACACCCTGAATGTAAATACAAACTCAGAAGGCAAATAGAAAGCAGCAGTGTTGGTAATCCCTGGGTTTCCCAGGAGCCTGACTCAGGGATTGTAAACCTTTGGGCCTGGCAGCAGCAGAAGGACGATCCCAGGTGGCACCTGGGGACATGGTTTGTTGGTGGACTTGGCAGCGCTGGGTTGATGGTTGGACTCGATGTTCCTAAAGGTCTTTTCCAACCCAAACGATTCTGTGATTCTCTGACCCTGTGACAGGGGGTGGGACAGCCTTGCCACTGCCTTTGCTCAGCTGGAGCATCCCAGGAACTCCCAGGCTGGTGCCAGCAGAGAGCACTGCAGCACAGCCAATGGATCCACCTGGCCTTTGGAGCAAAGAGAAAGGAATAAGGGAAAGTATTCAAAGAAAAGTCATAAAAGTATGAGCAGTGCAGCTGGGACTCTGAGTGCTTGGTCAGGGGAAGCACTAGATATAATTCTAGATGAACTCCTTGAAATAATGTGCAATTCAATAAGCTGTTCCTCCCAAGGGGAATCTGGAAGCATTATTTGATTTTCTTTGTTGCCTTAAACCAGGGATGTTGTAAAGCAAAGAGGATCCTTCATTTATAGTGTGATTGGAGGAGCTGTGAGGATCTACATGCTGGTTCTTTCAATCTATATTATCTCAATTTGAACGAGTTGCTCTTCTCTTCAGGCTTTATTTTTGAAAATAAGTGGTTAAATTGATTACTGAGTTATCCAAAGAACTGATTCACAGGTTTTGTGCCTTCCTGGTCATGAATGTCCTGGGAACTATGTGTTAACCATTCCTTTTAAAATAGTAAAGAATCAGGAAATTAGCTCCTGATGGGTATGTACTGCTAATTAAGCTGTCCAGTGGTATATTTACTGCACATCTTGATTATCTGCCCCTAAATAATTCCAGCTTGCACGTCTCTTGTACTGACATTGTTTTCATGGAAACTGTCTTTCCAGGACATGTCCTGATCCACTGTACAAACAACCATCCCCAAATCTACAACCACCCCATGACCTAAAGATAAAACTTGGAGGGTTTGGCTTTGGGATTGAATTAATCTGTATTTAATCTGTATTGCACAAACCCACACGAGGTGTGTTTGATCCTGCACCCAGATCCTTGGCCATCCTGCATTCCAGCCCTGCATTCCCAGTTCCTGCCATACAGAGCATTTCCCATGTTGATAGTTCATGCTCAGGGTTGACTAATAGGAAGCAGCAGCCAATTAAGGAACCTAAAAGGGCCTTTCATCAGCTTTTTTGAAAAAAATAAGTAGCGATTATACAGGTTTGAATGGATGTTTACTCAAGGGGTTAATTATGCATCTGTAAAGAGCAAAACTTAATTTGGTGCGTCTGGGGAGGCTCAGGAAATCCTGGGGAAGTGGGAATGGTGAATCTGTGGTGCAGGGGAAGCCCTGGGAAGTTCATCCCCTCAGCTGCTGCTGTGACTGCTCATCCCTTTGGAGAACCACGGAGGGAGTGACCATTCCTTGCTGGAAAGGTGGAGAGAACTGGTTGCAAAGCACAGGCAAGGACAGCCCAGGTCTGTGTGTCGCTTCATTTTCCACGTCCTTGCCACTGGAATGCTGTGGCTGCATCCAGGGCTGCTCCCACCACCATCCTGGGGCTTTGGGATGCCCTGGAATGTTCATCTGGCACAGGGCCAGGGATCACAGCCCACGGTGGAAACAGGGCTGCAGCATCCTCTAGAAGTCATCAGTGAAGTGCCTGTTCCAAATGGGTAACTGGACAATTCCCTGCTCCATAATCCCAATGGGAAGAAGCTTAAATATATCAGTTATTACAGGAAAAAAAAAAAAAGGTAACAGGAGCACTGGAATTCAGAATTTCCAGAACTGTTATTCTTACACGCTGTGATGGCTGTTAAAACCCAAACCTATTACAGTGTTTCCAGCAAAAGAAATCTTTCAGGATGCTGAAATCTGCCCTGGAAGACTTTACCAGGAGCAATTCCTCTTTGTCTGCTTATTACTTGTGTGCAGTAAATAATCAAGGAGATAATGGCATTGTAGA